CATCTTGGGGGGCGATCTCAGCAGCGTGGGCTTCCATTGACATATACATATACATAATGTCCGTGATCAAACCCATTCCACAACGGAGGTTGATTCACAAACAGAACGCATTGTATCCTTGTGATCGTCACGGTTACAATGTACGCAGGGGCGTATGCGAGGTTTACACCGCCGACAAAGGTGCATAATCTGGGTGGAGCTCGTTTCGGCAGAGCTGAGAGGACCGGGTTCACTGGCGCCGACTTTCGGTGTGGTGGGGCAGTTCCTGCGTTCACAGCTCAGGTTCATGTCGGCAGATTATAGTGTGCCGTAACGGCAGCACTTTTACGCTATGACCTGCCTTGATCTCCGCACTGCTCGGGATGTGTCAGTTGGCATGTGAATGACTGGACCCACGCTAGCACCGCAGGTAAATGGGTCCGAGTAAATGGGTCGCCTGCCGACCCGATGTGCGGTGTCAGCGTGGCGAGTGGACAAGGCGGAGGGCGCTGCATGCCGACTGTATCAGTTGTTTAGTGTCTGTCGTCTCAACGGGCTGCTGGCCGAAATCTGTTAGCCTGCCCGTCCCGTTTGAGGTCGCATGTAAGGCGCGGAATGACGGCCCGCTTTTTCTTCTTTTGCCGTCTTCTCCTGCACCTTGCAGGCGAGGTGCATGGCGGAGGTTCTTGCGCTGCCAGCCTGCCGCATGGGTGTGGCACACAGCATTTCGCATCAAAATAGAACAGCTGCAGCTCGCCAGTGCTCTACTCCGCCAGTGTCTGTGGACCGTCTCGTGTCTCCACCCACACGGTGTGGAAACTGTGTGTAACCCGCGCAGCGCGCACGTGTGGCCGCGGCTAGAATGATTTGCCGGGCTGCACTGTTCAAGCGGTCGTCCGCACTTCTGCCGCATCCCGCTCGACCGTCCACAGGCAGCGCCATCTAGACTCAGTACGCTCTATGCGACGGGGACACGCCCAGGCCAATGTAGGGTTACGAGATCGGCGTGGACCGCACTCTCCAGCCCAAACAGGTACTAGGTCGGCAGAAATCGCTCCAATAGGAGTCAGATCAAACATCTAGAGGAGGGCTCAGGGACCGCCTAAAGGCAGCGTCTCCCCAAGCCGAGCATATGATCCAGGGGAGGCCTGGACCGGCCATGTATAGCGCCCTCCCGGACGGAGCATCGTCTCGGTCGGAGAGAGTCACGGTTATAGGACACAAGCAGCGCGCTCCGAGAGCGAGCGAGCTTTTCGCATGTTGTAGGACGACGAGAATCACACAGATGGGAGCTAGATTCGACATCCAGATGAGGTTCGAGATCGGCCATGTGTCGTCCTCGCAGACTGAGCAGGCTCCAGGTCGATGAGGGGGATCGGCTATGGACAGTGCTCCGTAGACCGGGCATGCTCCAGGTCGATGAGGGGCACACCTATGGAGCTAAGAGCGCTCTCCCAGGCCGAGCACGTTCGAGGTGGATGAGAGCCAAGTTTATAGGGCCCGGGGCAGCGCTCTCCCAGACCGAGCAAGTTCTAAGTTGGGCACGCTCATAGGACTAAGGGCGCTCTCCCAGACCGAGCGCGCCCGAGGTCTGTGAGAGCTACGCATAGGGACCAGCTCGAGCATCCAGAGGGAGCTTCGAGATTGGCTACGTCAGCACCCTCCCAGGCCGAGCACGCTCAAGGCCGATGAGAGTCATGCTTATAGACTACAAGCAGCGCACACCCACACCGAGCAGGCTCTAGGTCGATGAGAGTGACACCAATGAGGGCCAGATCAAGCGTCCAGGAGGAGCTCCTTGATCGGCTACAGACCACCTTCCAGACCGAGCACGCTCCAGGTCGATGGAATCCCACCAACAGCACGCACCTAGGTCATCCTCCTCCGCTCACATCCCGTGTCGGGCCCCCACACACAGTGGTGGTCTGGTGGTGTGGTGGTCGGGTGGTCCGTCCAAAAAACGACGGCTGCAGGATTCGAACCTGCGAAGGTTGCCCCAATGGATTTCGCAAATCACGTGTTGTGATTGCTCTTGTTCTAAAATTCAAGTCCATCCCGTTAACCACTGCGGTAAGCCGCCAAAACGAGATGCATCACGTGATACGACGATTGACATATATCAATGCGCTCAATTTTCGCAGAAGCCAAGTATCTCTAATTTAGACGGTGGGCTATCAGATCTTTGGGACGAATATGGGTTTGACTTGCGGCCTCGTTTGGTCCACGTATGAACGAACGCTGACCGCGCGTCACGCACGCCATCGCTTCATGGTCCTTTAGCCGCAGCTTGATGAAGGACAGTGTAGCATCACTGATGCACGGTGGATCTGCACGGTGGATCAGCACGGTGGATCAGGATTCGAAAGGAGCGATCGGTCAGTGACCAAGGTGAACTGAAACCTTGATTCAAGATTCGTGATTGGCAAGGCTATGCACCTCAGGATAGAACATTCGTATCACGTGACCTCATTGCACAGAGGCCAATTTTGCGCGTGCAGCATCGACCCGCGACTTTTTTTATTGCAGAGAAGGACTCAACTTCTGACCGGGTCGGGGAGCGACTCGGAAGATGCATCTTCATCCCTTTGACCACTCGCGATTTGACATCTCATCGCCGCGCCTGATCAATTTCTGGCTTCTGGGGACAGGTCACGCAAAAGATGGTCTCGGCAGGGAATAGCGGGCACCCTGCCCCGGGGTCGGGCGCGACAGCTTCTGCTTCCACCTCCACGTCAAGCCCACCAATTGGCGCCGCTGTCAAATCCCCCGCGCCCCCTCGAGAGATCCCGCCAACCTTGCGGCCCCTCCAGTATCTCGGCATTCCGCGCAGCGTTCTGACATGGCAGCCTAAGCTGCCCTCTCGGAATTGGCTGATATTCATCGGCACCACGTCTACCTTGACTGCTCTCTATGTGTACGATCGAAGGGAATGCAAGAGGATTCGAGAGGAGTACAAGGACAAGGTCAGGCATCTGGCAGAGGAGCCGCTCAAGCCCAATCAATTCGCGCGCAAAGTGAAAGTGTACTGCGCCAAGAGTCCGGGAGACGACGACTACGACAAGAGCTTGATGTTCTTCAAGAAATTCGTCAAGGTGAGTGCCGAGAGGAGGCTTTTGCGAGGTCCGAAAACCGCTGACGCTCGAGCGCACCGGTCTTGCAGCCAATCTTGGTAGCAGCAGCGATAGATTGGGACACGACGAATGGCACGCGCTACGGGGGACTAGGCAGAGCAGTGCGAGAAGATATATACGCTCGACGAAGACAGCTTCTCGGCTTGGAAGCATGGGGCACTTCACCCTCAAGTCCCGGAGCCTCTTCCTCCGATCCTCCATCCGAAGCACAGCTCACTGCATCATCACCATTCGCTCTTTCAGCTCAAGATCAATTGCAACGCGAGCTCGAAGGTGCGACAGTAATCGTTGGCAGGCCCGCGTACAAAGAGTACATGTGGGGCTTGAAAGAGGGCTGGACCACTTCTCTGCCCGCTGCTCGGTCGGATCTTGACGAGCCATTGGCCAAGAGGCTTGCAGAAGATTCCGTGTTCGACGAGGTGGAGTATCCGGAAGTTGTGCAGGCCAGAGAAAAGGCCGAAAGATTGCGCAATGCTCCGCCTCTGAGCAGAGATGATGAAGAGTGGCAGCAAGCGCTAGCAGAGGCGGAAGGTAGCGCGGCAGTTTCCGGCACAGCAATTCAAGGAGGCTCGTCGATTTCGGGCTCATCTCTGTCGGATGCTGAGAGGAATGCGGCTGCTGCGCTTGCCTCACTCGAAGACGAAGGGGATGGAGCAGGAGCACCTTTGCCCCCTCGGAGGCACGGAGGGGGAGCCGCGGGCTCTGTACCTTTCTCCATGGGTCCCCGCTCCGTCGTCGAGGGCATTTCATCCCCGGCGGCAAATGCACGTCTTGCACCTCCCGCGCAAATCCCTGCTCAAGCGCCTCTCGTCTTTGTCGACTACATCAATCTTTACGGCTTCAG